ATTTCATTTTTGTCATAAAATCGTATCTGACTGGATCAGGAATTAACAGTGACTGACTGTTCGGCGTCTTTTCTCAGACCAAAAACAAAATTAATCTGATTGTTTTTATTTCACGGAAGCCATTAAGAGATGTCAAACGTGGACATTTGATCAATTTCCATTAAGCAGAAGAAAAAGATATTTATTGTGGCTTCTGGCATCCATTAACATTAGTGATTGTTAATTACATCTCACTATCAAACTAAACTAATTATTTCATCTTCTTCTCTCTGTTAATAAATCAACTCTATAATCACAGAATTTCTTACAATCAAAATATTTACTTTCCTAGAGAGGGTGTAGGATTAGGGTTGTATAAAAGAGAGAGAGAGAGAGAGAGAGAGAGAGAGATGGGGTTTGATGTCCACTCGACACAAACTAAGTCATTTCGGGACTAACACATGGTTCAATTTTATTTCAATAATTCGTTTGCACATAGGAGTCTTTAGCAGTGGGAGGAAACGGGAGGACCCGGAGAAAACCCATGCGGTTAGACAGGCGACCCTACTCCTTGTCATGTACAACTGGGGAATCAAAACCACACCAGTTGATTCAATGACAGACCTTATGATACAGTGCGCACATGCTAACCATTCGGCCATCCAAACTCCCGGGTTGCATGAGTCTGTAATTAAACATGGGCCCTTCCATCAAAACGATTACTACATAAAAGCGGGGATTAACAGTCACTCAACAGAAACTAGGTCATTTTAGGACTAACTTATGGTTTAATTTTATTTTAATAGTTTGTTTGTATGTTAGGGATCTTTAATTAACAGTGAGACCCAGGTGAGGTTGGACAGGTGACCCTACTCCTTGTCACGTACAAGCGGGGAATCAAAACCATGCCACTTGACTCAATGATAATCCTTACGATTTAAGGCATTAAACCCAATCCCCCTGACTCCATGACAGACCTTATGATTTAAAGCATACGTGTTAGACCACTTGACCCACCACAGGTTCACTCCCTAGTATTTGCCGAGAAAGTTCCTCAGGATTTTCCGGTGCGGTTTCCCCTTGTCAATAATGCAGGACGGAGGACCCGAGAAGGACAGTGTCTAGCTGTTTGGATGGAACATAAAAAACAAGCTCCTGTGAACGCAATGGCTTGCACATAAAAAAGAACCAATGACAGTTCGAATTCAAAATAGGAGTAGGTTGTAGCAACCTAAACTATATTGCGTAAGCCTGTCTTCATTACCCCAGTCGATGCAAAAAAGAAGGACTTAAACCCCATTTCATTCATTTCTATTGTCCCACGCAACTGCTGACATTTTTATCTGCAATTAATTTTGGGGCTTCCCCTAAATATTGCCTAATGCATCTATACCTGTCACTTCAATGGCCTTCAGAGACGAGAATTACATACTCAAGAATATCAGTGTTTTTAATACAAAATACAGTCAATTTTATTGTCAGTCAAATATTGGAAATGGCATGTGACAGGTCCATACATAAATTTCGCTTTTTACAGCCAAAAATGACGATTATTTTAAAATCAATCATTGCGAAATAAATATTTATGTTAAACCTACTATTGATTTTTCTCTGCGGAAATTGTTCCCGTATAATGAAAATCATTGTAGTACTCGACAGGAAACCATTCTGATATCGGTAATTATATAAAACCTTGGTACTATTATCTAAAAATAGCCGAAGTCCTTCAGCACAGACTCTCGGTGACAAAATAAAAGATTCCGAAAAACTTACGGAAATGGAAATTTTATCAAATTTTCATTTGGAATTAATGTAAATAGACATTTCTATCGGCTTTCACTGTTACCATACTTTAAATCTTAGTTCATTTCCAGGTATTTTTTTTCTTAATTTAATCAAATTCTTAAAAAATTCCCAATTTTCAGCTAAATCAAATGAACACTGCGTTATCTGAGAGATTGTTATTAAAATCTTCTTGAAGAAATACAAGTAGTGTGTAAGGCCATATCAATTTGAATTTCTCTTCTTCAGGAACAGATTTTAAAAATTCTGCCTCCAGTTATTCCAAAAGCTCATTTAATAACAAAACGCAACTAGTTTGCTCCTCTCAAAAGCTTTCAGGATGGGGGAGGGGGCGGGGTGAGAGATGTGGGCGAGTGGGGGTCTCGTAAGCTCTGTCACTGAATCAAGTGCATGGTTTTGATTTCCTACTTGTACGTGACAAAGTGTAGAGTCACCTGTCCAGCCTTGTGGATTTTCTCCAACTCCTATGGTTTATACTCACTATTAAAGACCCCTGGGCGCAAGCAAATTATTGAAATAAAATAGAACCATATGATAGTCCCAAAATGTCCTTGGACTTTAAACTCTCTCTCTCTCTCTCTCTCTCTCTCTCTCTCTCTCTCTCTCTCTTCTCTCTCTCTATTTATTTTATTTTAGATAATTTATTAAGTGTAGCACAGATAACTTTTCCAATGTTTTTTTTATTCTATTTATTTTATTTTAGATAATTTATTAAGTGCTGCACAGAGTTATCCTAGTTTAACCAATTCAACAAATGCTACATCTAACACCCTGACTACCAAAGCAAAACATCCGACACAAGAATTGAGTGAGTTATTTATTGATCCAGCTCCTGAAAAACTAAAAATTAAATTGCCTTGGTCTAAAGTACAGGTTTTTTCATAAAATAGATTTTTCAAAGCTTGTTAAAAACATTTCTCACTTGAAATGACAACTAAAGAAATAATCGAAGTTGATAAAGAACCAAACATCTAAAAAAGATTTTTTTAAACAGGTTATCAAGAAAAAAATAAGTTTGTCGTCAATACTTTGAACTGGGGAATCAAAATGAAGATAAATTTTTCACACATTTTTTAAACTTAGTAAAAAAAAAAGCAAGGATGAATAGAAAATTTAATAGCATGAATTTTTCTTTCTATTTTTTCTCCAATATTTCAAGAGTCTTATAGTCAACTGGCACGCAAATATTTTTTGTGTTTTCCACTTTATGCTAATATCATTTCCCCAGCACAAATGAACAGAAGATGTATTTAACCTTAGAACTAGAAGGTGTATTTAACCATAGAAATAGAATACCAAATTTATTTTCTGTTCTTCAGGAATACCTTATTTCTTCTTAAAAGACTTATTTAAAAACCAAAAGTAGTTGGTTTTGCTGTTCAAGAGTGTTTAGTTCCAAACATTTCAGTTTTGAAATTATGAAAAAAACATATTTCACATTTCGAGCACGTGTACATTAGCCCAGTAGGTGCGTAAAAGTAGGATGTTAAACCCCATTTCATTACATCATTTAAGTGGCTATTTATTTATCAGGGAGTCACAGTGGCCCAGTCGGTACGACGTTGGATTGCAAACCTGAAGTTCCAGTGTTCGATCCCTGTGTTGGCCGAGAAAGTTCTTTAGGATTTCCCACATGGTTGATCCTCCTTGTCAGTGGTGCAGGGAGAGAGAGAGAGAGAGAAATGGGGTTTAACGTCCACTCGACACAAACTAGGTCATTTCGGGACTAACATATTGTTTAATTTTATTTACATAATTCGCTTGCGCGTAGGGGTCTTTAGCAGTGGGAGGAAACCGGAGGACCCGGAGAAAACCCACGAGGTTGGACAGGCGACCCTACTCCTTGCCACGTACAACCGGGGATTCGAAACCACGCCAGTCGACTCAATGACAGACTTTATGATACAGCGCGCTCACGCTAACCATTCAGCCATCCACCCCCCCCCCCCAGTGGTGCAGGACCGAGGGCCTGGCAAGGGACAACATATAGTTATTTGGATAGGACGAAAAACTGAGGTCCCATGTACACATTGGTGTGCACGTTAAAGATCCCTTGGCAGTTGGTATTTGATATAAGAGTAGGTTGTAGCACGACTGTCCGGGCAAAATTTCCCCCATAGCACACTGTATGGCAAATGCCCATTTTCATTAGCCCAGTGGAAGCAGAACAGTAGGATGTTAAACCCCATTTCATATAGTTTTATTTATTAATCAAGACCCCTGAAGAACAGAAAATCAATTTCTTGTGGCCTAAGACTGAAAAATAAACTCAGTTTTAAAACTCAGGTTGGGTTTAACAAAGTAATGAATGAATACCTTTTTTACAGATTCTAACCTCTAGTTTATTTAATCCATTTTTTCGTTCAATATGTAAAGAGTCTTATCGTTTCAACTTTCACAAAGATATTTTTACATTTTTTTTACAGGTTGTTACGATTGATTTTTTTTCTGTTTCGAATGTTTGAGTAAATAAAAGACTGGTGCCATGGACAAACAGAACAAACAAGTCTGTGTTAGATGACAGACATTGACTGATTGATTGACAGCTTGTAACAAACACTTGCCATCGATATGCTTTACATTTTATGTTTTTTAATAAAAAAAAGTGAAAAAAATACAAAATTAAAACGAAATCGAGAAAATGAATTATTTCTTGGAATATCTTTTATGTACACTGTTTTAATAGAAGACACAAATATTGTAATTGCTTTCTTGAATATCTGCCATTACGGAAGATGTGTAAACACATTTTTTTTTGGCATCACTGAAATAGAAAGCACGCCAGTTGACTCCATGACAGAGCTTATGATACAGACCTATTCCGCCATCCAACCCCCCAAACCCTGAGGAACTGAAAGTTCAATTTGTTGGCCCTAAATCTTAAATAGTGCATAATTGTGCATTATTTCAATAATTTGCATTGCCAGTAGGTGTCTTTAATCTGAGGTTAGACAATTGATTCTACTCCCTGTCATGTACATGGTAGGAATTAAAACCACACCACTTTATTCAATGACAGACCTTATAATCTAAAGTGTATGAGTAAGACTATTTGGCCACCAAACCCGCTTATAGTTTCAGTGTTCATATTAATAACTGTTTCCTGTAAACTTTGTTAGCGCTTTGAGCAAACAGTACTGTTTGGAGTCTAGCACTTTATAAGAGCCCTTATTATTATTATTATTATTATAGTAAAGAATAATTGATGATTTACTTACCAGATTTTGAAGATTGTGGTGTGAATGTCGTATTAATGTTGATCAGATACTCGGATAAATTCCCTGTAGATAATTCTTCCGTTACATTCACCAACACCACATCATCTGTTACAGTTACATCTGGTGGTGTTGTAACATCTGTTGACACAGGTGATGTCAGTGACAGTGACGTGGGTGACAACACAGTAGACAAAATAGACTCATCATACAGTGATTCAGTGGTGTTAATATCAATGTCAGTGACATTGGTGACGGAGCTGTCCGTTGTTACATCTATAGCACTGAAATTTTCTTCTTGGGTTGCTTTAATAAAAATATAAAAAAAACATATAACTATCAGTTTCAGCTCTGTTTATGATAAATAAACAAATCATGTAAGTCAGAGCCAGAGCTTTCACTGGTCAGTTTTAATGTATTTTATTTGCCAGGGCTTCCACTTCAAATTTTTTCCAGAGGGTTAATAGCTTATTTAATGGAGCTAAATCGCTAACATTTGGGACCTAGAAATTGACAAAAGTGGGTCGCAACGCATATAATTCTGTAATATGAACGTATATAAACTGATTTACATTCAATGGTTTCCGTTTTTACTCCAATTTCAAATCAGTTATGTTCGGCGTAATAAGCCAGCAGTCTCAAGCGAGTGCAAATTTCTAGTGTCTGGTTATTCCAGTCTACATCCGCCGTTTGATTTGGCTCAATGTGTCTAGCCTCGTCCCTCGAGTCTCTTGATACAACTGGGGCTGAAGCGCATTATGGTACACGATTCATGTACCAATGGTAAAATGTTTATTTTGTCTTAAATAGTGGATATCAAAAGCCCATCTTTTTCCGGTAAGATCACAACATGAATGTTGATTTAATTTGACAAATAATTCGTGTTTTCAATGTTGAAGATTTTGGATGATACTGAGTTAGAGACTTAGCTACTTTAAAGATACATTATGTAAGATTTCGATAAAGAGCTGGCCGTTCTTGCTATAATAGTTAAAAAATAAATAATGCTAAATAATATATTGAAAATTTCATTCAAATTACTTTATTCTGAGCGAAGTTATCACTGTTTGCAGTTTTGACAATATATGGCATTAATTGTTTATTATTGTAACAACAGTACTTGTTATTCAAGATTTTGCCTTGCTTCTCCATTTTTAAATTAAATATTTAAATGGTCTAAGCGTTCTAATCTACTCTTCCATAATGCATCTTTAACTATGATCACCAATTAAATTAGATGATAATTTTTAGTATTATCCCAATTTTGTTTACATAATTATCTAAGTTTATCTATTGTGTTTTTCTGGTGCGATATAGCCCAGTTGGTGCTAATGTGTCATTCAACAATATTTCATTTTATTTCATTTCTTTTGCATTTTAAGATACTGCTAATGCAACCCTCGCACTGGTGAATGATTGAAATAAAATTGAACCAAATGTTAGTCCCAAAAGGACCTGGTTTGAGTCAAGTGGACATTAAACCCCATTTCTCTCTCTCTCTTTCTATATGCTCTTGCAATACTCTGTTAAAATATATAAAAGAAAACAAAAAAACACTCTTAAAATTTATCTTTTTATGACATCTTTTTAACCTACTCCTGATATTAATATTTCCTTCTTTATGACGACTTTCAATATGTCGTTGCTATTCTGTTTTAAAATTTCATAAAAACAATAAAAACAACAGTCATCCTACGAACTCATGTTTTAAATTATCATAAATTTAGAATCCCCCCCCCACCCCTATTATTGAATATTTCGCAGTCTAAATAAAGTACAATCTATCTTTTTAACCCATTCCTGTAATTAATGTTTCCTTCTTTATGACGACTTTCTATACATCCTCGCTACTCAGTTAAAATTTCATCCCGCTAACTCATGTTTTAAATTATCATATATTGAGAATTCCCCCCTCGTTATTGACTATTTCCCAGTCTAAATAACATGACAATCTAATAAAGTATCGTAGCTTTAGTAATAATATCATTTTATCCTCGTTATAGACTCCGACCGTTCCAGGTCTAAGAACACCACTATGTTAAAAGCCAGTCGTAAATCAATCGTATGACGATCTTAATTCAAGCAAATGGAAAGTAAATCTCTTGAGATCTCTCTCCTTTTAATAGTTGACATGATTTTCCTATTCCGCTATTTCTTTCCGATTTATTCATTCTTGGTTCTGTGTTCGTATCCAGGGTTCTCGTCAATCATTATGGGTCTTAAGTGACTGTCGGAGAAATTAACTCGCTGATAAAAGTATAATTTCAAAGAATTTCACTTTAAAATATAATAAATAGTGTTAATTTTTTTTGTGACAAAATAATTTTTGGGAAAATTGGGATAATTCTAAAAACTGTCATATTTCTTTTTTTTTAAAAATGAAATGAAATGGGGTTTAACGTCCTAATGTTCTGCTCCGATTGGGCTAATGAAGATGGGCATGCGCCATACAGTGTGCTTGCTATGAGGGAAATTTTGTCTGGCCAGCAGTGCTACGGCATACTCTTATATCGAATTCCAACTGTCAAGGGATCTTTAACATCCACGTGGTCAGTGTGTACTTGGGACCTCGGTTTTTCATCCCATCCGAACGACTATGTGTTGTCCCTTGCCAGGCCCTCGGTTCTGCACCACTGACAAGGGGAAACCACGCCAGAAAATCCTGATGAACTTTCTCGGCCAACACCAGAAAACTGAGGTTTTTTAATAAAACACAACAAAAATAGACCAACTTGAAATATTTTGAAGTCACAGTCCTTCCATAATGCATCATTTTGATCAAATTAATTCACGGTTGGCTTCATTTCAGAGCCAATCAACACTTATTATGTCAAAGACGAAAAAAATATCTCGTCATTTTCTTTCGACACCCATCACCATTAGTCTGGTAGATTTTCAACACATGTAGTACAAGACAGGAAATGAAAAAGTTATAAATTTTTCAAATAAAATCAGATCTGTCTAGAAATTTTGTAAAATATGTTCAAGTTCATCGCAGATTTGACTGATTTACGGGGAAATGAACGTTAAACTTACGTTATTTTCCGGATAAAACTTTCGTCTGGTAATTTTATTACATGTCTGGAAGATTTTGCAGGAAATGAAAATAATTGATTTTTAAAAATACTGCCAATAAATATCCTGTCTCACTACAGATTAATTTTTTTTGTAGATTTTGATGTCTTGTTTCAATTGGAACGAGCTTGAAGCGCCATAATAGTCTCAATTTCTCTGGAGTTATAGTTGCTAAAATCATATTACATTAAGTTTTTAATTAATTTTAACTCATTTTTAATTAATCTTCAACTCAATTTCTATTTAACTTTAACTTGATTTCTATTTATATTTAACTTTAACTCAATTTTTAATTACTGGTTATTTTAACACAATTTTTAATTACTAGGTATTTTTAATTAATGGTAATTATAACTCAATTTTCAATTTTAATGGTAATTTTAACTCAATTTTTAATTACTGGTAATTTCAACTCAATTTTTAATTACTGGTAATTTAATTTCTAATTTATTTTAACTCAATTTCTAATTTATTTTAAAGATCCATATGGCAAGCAAATTATTGAGTATCGAAATGACCTAGACCTAGTTTGTGTCGAGTTGATTTTAATCTCTCTCTCTCTCCCTCCCTCTCTCCCTCACTACCTATCACTCTCTCTCTCATGGTCAATTGAGGTATTTTGAATTGTGGCAAACTAGTGGACAATATTATGAAAGTTCAATCTTAGTAATCGTCCAAATGTAGATATAAGAAACAAACCAGTACCACCTATAAGTGTTAGGGAAAATCTTTTTAAGTTTTCTTTTTAACCTGATTGATTCCAAGCCGGGAGATCATCTACCACAAATATTTTGTTTCTGTTTTCTTAATTAAATGTTAAATAATTAATTCGAGTATATTTTCCCATAGATTAAATCATGACAAATTTGGTGTTGTCGGAACAAGTTTCATTATGTCTAGAATAAACCATGGTTTCCAGTTAGCTTCATCAAGTTGCAGCAGTTAATGCAGTCAACGAACGACTGACTACAGTCAAAAAAGTATTATCCAGATGTCCATAAAAAGAGAAGAAGAGAACACAAGTAGCAATAAAACCCCTCCATATGGAGCAAAAAGAGTGAGTTAGGGAGTGTGTGAGTGAGTCTTGAGCATAAGGGTTCTTTAACAGTGGGAGAAAACCCAAGAAGCTAGACAGATGACCCTTATGCCACTTAACTCAATGACAAACCTTATGACTTTATGTTAAACCATTTGACCACCCAACCTCCCTGACCATCAGAGAATTGAAAGATTAGGTGTTATTAATCATGATAGTTTGACTAAAGCCATAATTCATTTCCTAGTTGCCTGATGGTTGAACTATCCCATAAGACCTACTGTCATCTATCAACTCTATCATCTAGGGTAAGATAAACACCTTTTGTAAACAATATTGTACCAGTTTACACTTATAGCTGGTTCAGATGCTTAAGTTGAACTGGTTTAAAAACCCTGGGGATCTTAAACCAGTTTAACTTTGTCGCCTGAACACCAGTGTGGGGCAAATAAACCAGTTTAAAAACCCCAGCTCGCAACCCATCTCCAGCTTGCTTTGAGCATGCACAGTATGCAGTAAGTTGCATTCCTGGGAAAATGTCCGGGTCAGGCAGTGCCAGTGTTATCAAAAGCATGCAAGAATAAAGAATATGAAGCTATCCATGCGTAGTTAACTCTAACCTCTAACTTTTAGTACGTATGAATGCAACACAACCCTGTCTTAAAACCCCCAGCGATTTTGAACTGGTTTAAAAATAAGCATCTGAACGGTATATTAGTTCTTGTATATGGTGTCATATAATTCTGTATAAAAATTAAATTTTGAATTAAGGCACCAGTACGATGTGTGTCTGTCTGTAAAATGTCTATATGTTTGTCTCTATTTGTATATATTTTTTATAGCGCTTGTTATATAACTGCTATCGTCCCGTCATTAATTGTTTTATTCCTTCTGTACATATATATAAATATCTAATAATCCTTTCAATTCTTTTCACTAATCACCTTGTAAATAATTCACTTTGAATATATAACATGTAATTGTCTGCGATATCACTTCGGTGCAAGCAGACAATAAATAAAGCAAAATGAAATGAAATGAAATGGGCTTTAACGTCCTACTGTTCTGCTCAGACTGGGCTAATGAAGGTCAGAGTTAAATAAAGCTATTTCCCACAATAAGGTACCTCTCAGACACAAATCTACATTTTGTCAGGCACAATCTCTCTGGGGTCATTTTCTTATTCCTCCTAGTC